TTCAAAAATTTGTGATAACTTTCATCACCTCTTCACTCGAAACTCCAATAATAATGAAACAATTATTAATAGTTAAGCCATAGATTCGCTACGAATATAATAATTAGTAATCGCATTAAAAAAGAGAGAAAAATATTTCATTAAAAAGTGTGAAAAATTAAAAGCAATTCAGAGATAACTGCCATAAAAGAGATGAACAGATGAATCACGAGTAGTGCGTGATGGGAAGCGTGGGTGCGGTGGTCGAGGGCCAGGTGTGTGTGTCTACAAGAACTGGTCGCACCACTCGCCTAAGCACTGGCAGCAGTCCTTCGCCTGCTTGGCGTTCGCACCGCTCAAGTCCTTCAGCCACTCGACGAAGAGCTCCTGATTCTTCTTGAGCACCAGAAACTGTCCCAAAACCACGTAAGCCTATGAGTGGACACAAACAGACAGACAATTAGTACCACGCGTTGAGTGCGAAGACAATGAGTGGCAATACTTTGTCGAAACCCTTGGACTCCAACCTCTTGCCCAACACTTCTCCAATTCCTGCCAAATCCGTGACCGGCTTCTCGCCCATCGGTTCCGACACGAAGTTATGGTGTTTCTGCGATGTCGTCGACATTCTTCACCAGTTGTGTGCTTTCAATGGATTGGACGGCGAGTCGATTAGACGTCTATATGACCCAAACTTAACAACTAATTCAACGACAACTCAACGAACACTTCAAATCCGATTGATTTGTGTTTTTGTTTTGCATTCAAATGATGTCATCGATCATCACATCCTATACGAGTCACTCATATATAACGTCTCTACAATTCCCGCCTTTTCGGCCAACAATTCGTTGGTTTGAATGAAAAATTTAGGAAACTATTTATAAATCAGTTCATTGCATTCAATTCATACATTATGAGCACATATTTATGTGTATATAAGATGAACAAGGCATATTTCTGGTTTTAAAATTTTTAATAATAACATCATGGTTAAAACTCTGATAAGGGGGTTTGTAGTGTTTGTCCCCTAGTTTTTTTTCTCAATAACATAACAATTATTGTTTATATTGTAAGTCAATTAAAAAGCATTTAGACTATTTAATAAGATTTTATTTGTATCAAAAATCAATAGTAAAACATATTGATCAACTTAATTTAATAATTTTTAATTTCAAAGCAATGCTTGAAATGCAATGCTTTTTGTTATTGTATTCAAAAGTTTGCATAAATATAGACATAATTTGTTTGCAAACCATTTGTTCAGAAATGAAATCTCAACCAAATCCACGTTTTTCTCTAAATTGTGGTTTAATTTCAATTATAATTAGAGATAATTTAGTTGTCATTAAGTAATCCATCACAAGAGGAATATCATGTCTAAGGCTACGAAGAAGAAACACGTGACACAGGAAGTGCTCAATCACTTTGACTTACCACAAGATAATCAACAGATCGTAAAAGTATTTTTTTTAAATCTTTCAATAATTGCCTAAAAATAACGTATTATTGGATCAATTGAGGTGATAGCCAGTCGCGGCAATAATCTTCACCAAGTGGTGACCCCCGATGGCGACAATTATCTCGTATCGATGCCACCGAAGTTCCGTAAATGGATTTGGATTAAGAGAGGTTTGCGTGAGATTTGCATTTAGTTTACAATGGATTTATCATTTAAATTGGTTTCATATTCTTCAGGCGATTATCTGATTGTGGATCCGATAGAAGAGGGAAACAAAGTGAAGGCAGAGATCACTAATATATTACTGAAGGAACAAATCAAATACATTAAAGATGAGGGAAAATGGTCTGTGATTTGACTGCAAATGAATGACACTTTCATTGAACTGTCTTTCAAATGAATGCTTTGTTTGACAGGCCGTTGGCTTTTGAAGACAAGGATACCACTGATAGTGACTTGGATTCAGACAAACTCTATAGGAATACCAATAGGGATCAGGACATCGATGAGAGTTCCAGTAGTAGTGATTCTGATGAAGGGGACAGTGATGACGATAATGGAGATGCAGACCAAAGCAATGATAGCGATGACAACACTTCCAACAAATAGTTTGCGAAGAATTGCATACAAAAGAGATTTAATTGTTTTGTATTTATATTAAACTTTCGGATCAAATGTGGTATGAAATGACTTTTATATGAGAACTTCAATATAGAGATCATATTTATGTAAAATATTTGTATTAATGAAAATGTATGAAAATGTTTGAAAATCTAATGTATATTTTGATTAATTATTTTATTTAAAATAAAAATGATTTTTAACTCTTAATATGAGACCAATTGTTATCCGATATGAAGACAATTGTAAGACAAATGGTAACAAAGTCTTTGAGATGTGATAATTGGTGGCAAACCGTAAGCCCTTGACTGACGTAATACTTGTTTGGCATTCAATGCATGAAATGATTGTCGAAATGAAAACATATGAAAGAAATGTCAAAATTTGGTTTAAATTCATATTTTGTTAAACAAAACCATTTCAACGATAATTGCAATCAAAGACATCCAAAACACAACCAATTGGATGGCCACGAGATCCAAGAGTTTTACCACAACATCATCTCAAGTGCTGAAGAGTCGAAAGCGAAGAATAGGAAGAAATGCAAACCTGTTAGCAAAACTCATGAGGAAACTCACGGCAGGTTTATAAGTGATAATGGGATCAAATGCGACCAAATCTTTAAGATGTGTCAAAATGGTGACTACAATGGATGTGTTCAGTGGATTCGTATGGGATATGATATCAACACAACTGACCAATACTTGTGGACACCTTTGATGTGTAGTTCTTGTGCTGGACATCAAGACATCGTTCAGCTATTGCTCGACAATAAGGCAGACATTGGGCCGAAGGATAAGAGAGGAAGAAGTGCTTATGATTTGGCGCTCATTAGTGGACACAAACACATCTGTGACCTCATTATCAACCGACAAAAGAAGACTCAGACGCGTAACGAAGTGAACAATAAATTGGATTCAATTGGAAGTTCCGACTCTTCACGTGATCCCAAGAGATGCGATGTCTGTGGCTATCAGTACAATGGATGTGATGTCCGCCACAAGTGTTCAATTGTTCATCAAATTAGTGCCGAAAGCGGACAAAATTTCAATAAATACTATGAAATCTCTGAAAGCAATAAAGGCTTTCAAATGTTGTTAAGGAGTGGTTGGAGTCGTTCAGAAGGGTTGGGACCTAAGGGTCAGGGAATGAGAGCTCCCGTCAAGACAGTACTCAAGAGGGACCGCTTGGGTTTGGGCTTAAGTGATACCAAAAACAAACCAAAAGTCACTCACTTTAGTTCATTTGATCCCAAATCGGTGGACAATAATGTCAAACACAATAGGCTTTCAAAAGAGCGTCAACGAAGACAATCAGAGATTAGATTAAAACAAATGGAAATAAGATTTAGACAAGAATTCAAGTAAAATGTTTGGATTTTATTTATACATATTTTGTTAAGTAAACAATAAAACATATATTGCGGTAAAAATTTGTTATTTCAATGATTTGTTTTAAGTAGAAGTGAAATAGTTTTCAAATAAAAATCACTAATTAAAAGGAAAATGTCTTCAAAATTATATAATATATTAATTAAATATCAATGATTTGTTGTATGCTTTAAAAGAGCAAAAATACGGTATATTTTCATCCAATTTAGGCGACGAAACCATTGTGTTATTAAAATATCCATTTAATGACAATTAGCGACAAATAATGATTTAAATCACAGTATGTTTGCTGCAAAATGTTGTGATCCATGATTTGAATACAAAACAAATTTAATAAATTAAGAAAATATGAGTTCAGTCGACGTGATCCTGAAATATGAGGCGAACGAACCCTTCGGTTCTCGTGGCACAGAAGGGACAGATCGCTATGAAACCATTGGTGCCGTGAGGTATAGGCACTTGAGACCAGTACCTGAACACAACATACAATGCATATACAGGACTGTAGGGCAACATTGATAATACGTAATGAATTGATGGCAAACCTCGCAGTTTTATCTGAAGTCATGTGACCGCACGGGTTGAACGCAAAGTTAGGCTTCGCAGTGTCCACGTAGAGGGAGGGCTCGGTTCCCATAGTGAGTTTGGCGACGGGACTGATGTCGAGGCACATGGGACAGGTGCGACCGTTGGTGTTGCGGTTCTGACCCCAATCGTGCAGTCCCTGAACGTGACCGCAATGCAGGTAAACGTAGGGCTGTTTGTCGGCTTCGCTCAGAGACCCACTTCTTCGGGGTATCACAAGTGTGTTGAGACCTACAGGACATTGAGGTCGGGCGGCATTGAGTTCGTCGATCATCTCTTCCAAGTGCTTCTTCGTGGGAGAAGTGGTGAGTCCTTCGGATGAGCGCCACAGTAGAGTCGCACCGCACAGATCGATGAGAGTGCCATCAGTCAAGACATTGCTCTCGTTATCGATTTTGGTTCCCTTCTGAGCGGCCGAACGGGTCTCGCGAACAGAATATATTTCACCGCAAACCGATACCTCTCTCCAAACGCCTCCTAACTGTGGATTCGGTGCCTCACACGGCGAACAATTGGAAAATTTCGACTTTGGGTGCATTATTAGCACTCCATTTGTGGTCAAACCATCGATTTCCCCGTTCTGTTGCCATTTCGTTGCCTTTTCGCCTATTTTTCAACAATAAAATTACTTTCAAATAACATATCAAATAACAATAATAAACCTAAAAATATATTTCGTGACGAATCAAAGCCGGCGGCGTATATGCGGGCCCTATGAGGGGGCGACCGCTCGATGAGTATACGACAAGCAAAACGAGATATAGTGCTCTGTTGGACGAGTTTCTCGCCATTAGTTTTGTTTGGGTCGGAGACCAGAGTATCGATCACTACGAAGTCGATGGGACTTTCAGATGAACGACCGATCTATTAGACAATAATTCACGTTAATTGCAATGTTTGTAAAGCTATATATGTTTGACTGTAAACCTGAAACATATCAGTGTCTTCATCTGATTGGTATTCAACTATAATTGCTTGAGATCTGGAGAGAGTGTATGAAATCGAGTGCTGAGCCTTGTCTTGAATGGCCTAAAGTTGATTCAGTCAATCAGTAATTGATGTGAAAACTAGACCTCACTTATACAGTCTATCATATTATAATCACTCACTCGTGTCGATTGTGGCTGTTTCACGACATAGTGTTTGGATTTCTTAATTCCGTTAGCATTGGGTCTCTTATATAACAGATATTTGCTTTTCCGTCGACCTCTCTCTCCTTGAGGAAGGCCTCCATTATATCTGCAGTTCAATCATACAATTGTTGGACTGGTTTTTAATGGCAATTATAGACAATACAAACCCGAGTATAACGAGCTCCCCGTAGACCACGGGATAAGACTTTTGGTTATAAACTTTGAACTCATTGGCCATCAAAATAGGATTTGTAGACAAATTGGTTTCTAATTTATTGAAATCAATGTTTTGTGGCGAAGAAGGACCGGAACAACTCGTCGACCGATTGGCTGACAGTTTACTCGCACTCATCTGATGGCTCGCATTACTGCCCACTTCTGGTCTAAACAAATGTTCATTAGTTGTAACCATAAAAGCAGTCAAACAGTATAAAAGACAACAACAAAGCAAACAAATAGATTCAAACGTTTGTCACTATCTCTTGTAGTTTAGAGTTGAGATCAAAGTTTTAACAACTTTTATGTCGATAACAGTTATATTAAATATTTGTTGAGAGAAACTATACAACACTTACAGACTTATGTCTTCAAATCATATGCTGTTTATTTGCCATAAATTAACAAAAAGGGAAATAATTTTAACATTTATAACTCATTTGAGATGAAAAAGTGAAGTATTTATTAATAGAAGTAATTATTATGAAGAAAACAATGATAGCGATCACTAAATATTATGTTAGGCTTAAGAGTTAATTACTGTACAATCGTTTGTTGCCATAAACTGTGTTTTCATGAATTGAGTTACTGTTAAACAACTTTGGGTTTAATTTTGCATTTTATGAAATATTAATTAATGGCAACAAAAAACACAATTTAGTGAATAGTATTAGCTTTTATTTCCATAACTTATATCCGAGTCTTAAAACTTAAGGTTAAAATTAGGCCACAAGTCATGAGAAGTTTAATAATGAAATTAATTGCAAAACAGGTTTACGTTTAGGTTCTCAACCCTTATCTCACAATTTAATTGTATTTCGTTTTTTACAATAAGTTTTATACAATTTGTTATTTATTACAAAACTTTGGATAAGAAAATGCATTGTTTTTGATTAATACCAACATTTGTCAAACAAAATGCAACTAATTTTAGTCGAGACTTAATTTCATTTCATAGAGAGTTTGCACTTTCAATGAGTTTTCACTAAAATTTTGCGATGTTTTCAATGAACTCATTGTAAACTCATTGATAATATTATGCGACAAAACATTGCACTCAACCATCAATGCGACCAAAACTAGCCCTTTATTATCAGTTGTAATCATTTCACTTAAATAGCAATTCAATAATTCATTATCAAATGATTGCAATGCACTAAATGCACAAATGATACCAGATCAATTACAATGTCATCAATATAGGCTTTTGTCAATAGACTACATTTACATAAATATACCTAAATCTATACCCAATTTAATAGCATTTATATATTAGACATGAAACCCTCATAGCATTAACTGTAATACACTGATCAGTCAATTGTTGAGTGTATTTGCTTTGTGTTTGAATTCATATGAAACTAATGATACGATCGACACAATAATCATATCATAAAAACATTGCATATCTATAACTATAGTAATAGTAATAAATGATAATAACTGCAAACTCACGTCAAATGGTCGGGCATTTCACTGCACAATCAATACATTGAATCCAATCACACATATAGTTAACACTCGTTGTTATATTCATTCATAAATGCAATCAATGAATGAAACGATTGACGAAATCATTGAAACAATGAATGCATTTGAAGACAAAAAATGCAGTAATTTTTGTAACAATAATACTAATGATTGAGTCATACGTTTGACGATTGAAAACACTTATCGAAAGTGCAGTCAATTTGTTGTATAAGAGGCTATTGTGGCGACACTTGTGTCACAACACACCGTAAGTGCCATACATTAGCGTTCATTCATTCATTGGTCGACACCAGATGTCTCTCTTATATTCATTTTGTTGTCATTTCAAAGCAATTGTCATTTCAGGTATACAATAGTGTTGTAATAATACTATTAAACTATTAATTTTGATTATTTTGTAAAGTTTTCCCAACTTTTATATAAAAATTTATTGAAAAAATAAATAAACATTTGAAACCGATTTAGTTGTTTATAATTGAAGTTTTGTTTAAATGCTAACAAACAGACAATTGGTGTGAAAGTTGTGCAACGATTGCAACACTAGTGAAAACACCCCTCAAAAGCATACTCTATGTTGGCATCAGTTTTGATGTTTTAATGATACAAACGATTAATGAATTTGTTATTTATTTATAATTTATTTCTCATTTAATGAACACTTAATTGGTTTACGAGTGAAGAGTATCTGAGATGTCGGACGCGTTAGAGTCCGGTCAGGACTCGGGTCAGCAGTCGCTGCCCAATGAGGCGAACCTCCCGACTGTGGCTTTGGTTGACGTTCAGGTTGTCGTGAATTACATCCGACGAGTCATTCCGGCCCTTCTTGAGGAAGACAATGTCATCCATCCATCGCTGGAGGTGTGCCTTAGGAGTGACGCGACTGTCGACAAAATCCGCAAATTTATATCCGACGGACAAATGCGGTCTCTTCTCATCCAAAGATCGTCTTCAAAAGGTTTGTTTGAATTTGATTTGGTTTTGAAGTTATGTTTAAATGTATTGTCGGCTAAACAGAAGAGGAAGAGGTGTCGGAAGCGGGCGGTGACACAGAAGACAATGTCGTGTATTTGATCTCAGAAGAGGTCCGCTTTATGAACGCGAAGATCAATAGCGTTGTCCTCATAAAGAAAGGCCTGGTATTGGAGGCCGAGAAGAATATATCGACTCAACTGCGAGTCATGAATCTAAACGACTCGTCCCCTTATGAGACGCTCCACTCCTATGTGTCCGCAGCCGTCGCCCCGTATTTCAAGTCTTACGTCAAAGAGACCGGAAGAGCCGAAAGGTTTGTATTTTTGCCGGTTTTTACAGTTAATTTGATGTCATTCTGGGATTAATTTGTGACTCAATTACATCGACAGAGACGGCGACAAAATGGCGCCGACGGTAGAGAAGAAGATCGCGGAGCTAGAGATGGGTCTTCTGCATCTCCAACAGAACATTGATATCCCAGAAATCAGTCTTCAAATACATCCAATGGTTGTGTCGGTTATCAAGAAGTGCTCTGAAGATAAGCGACGAGTGATTGTCGACGAGTTCGGCGATAAAGTCAACGATTCTGTGTTCTTGAATCAACTCCAGAGTGGAGTCAATCGTTGGATTCGAGAGATACAAAAAGTGACAAAATTAGATAGAGATCCGTCCTCTGGAACCGCTATACAAGAGATAAGTTTTTGGTTGAATCTCGAGAGAGCCCTTCTCCGCATCCAAGAGAAGAGGGAGAGTTCAGAAGTGGCTATCACTTTGGAGATCCTGAAGAATGGAAAGCGCTTTCACGCGACCGTCAGTTTCGATGCCGACACTCGTCTCAAAGAAGCGCTTTCGACAGTCAGTGATTACAACCCTCTGATGAAAGACTTCCCGCTCAACGATCTGTTGGCGGCCACAGAACTCGACAAAATCAGAATTGCTTTGCAGTCGATATTTCAACACTTGAGGAAAATCCGAAACACGAAATATCCGATCAAAAGAGCGCTCAAACTAATGGAAGCCATCTCTCGGGACCTGATGTCACAAATGCTGAAAGTGTTGGGCACCCGACGAATGATGCACATCCCCTTCGATGAGTTTGAACGGGTGGTGTCCGCCTGTTTCGATGTCTTCATCACATGGGATGACGAATACGACAAACTTCAGGGCCTTATGAGAGATATCGTCAAAAAGAAGAGAGAGGAACACCTGAAGATGGTTTGGAGAATCAATTTGGCGCACAAGAGATTGCAGTCACGTATGGAACAAATGCGCAAATTTCGTCGACAACACGAACAGCTCCGGGCAGTCATTATTCGTGTCTTAAGACCGACCGTTAAAAGTGTCAAAGAAGGCGAACCCATAAGTGATGGCAACACTGAAAAGGATTCCACACTTTCTTCGTTCGATTCGGCGGACATGAATGCCATCGAAGAAGTGAACTCTGCGTACGAACTCGTCAAAGAAGTGGATGCGCTCGACATCAGCAAAGAAGGAACCGATTCGTGGGAGGCGTCGATGAAGAGATACGAAGAACGCATCGATAGAGTCGAGGCCAGGATTACGGCTAAACTGCGAGATCAGTTGGGAATCGCTAAGAATGCCAACGAAATGTTCAGAATATTCTCGCGATTTAACGCTCTATTCGTTAGGCCTCATATTCGCGGCGCTATTCGTGAATATCAGACACAACTGATCCAAAGAGTTAAGGACGACATCGAATCGCTTCACGAGAAGTTTAAAGTCCAATACCCGCAGAACAAGGCCTGCAAAATGAGTCGCGTCAGGGATTTGCCGCCCGTTTCCGGGTCTATCGTTTGGGCGAAACAAATCGAGAGACAACTCTCTGTTTATATGAAACGCGTTGAGGATGTGTTGGGCAAGGGATGGGAGAATCACGTCGAGGGCCAGAAGCTAAAGAGCGACGCCGACAGCTTCCGAATGAAACTCAACACTCAGGGAATATTCGACGAGTGGACACGAAATGTGCAACAAAGACAACTCAATGTCTCCGGAAGAATATTCAATATCGAAAGCTTTCGGTCCAAAAGTGGAAAGGGAAGTGTTCTTAAGCTTCGCGTCAACTTTATGCCCGAAATCATAACTTTGGCCAAAGAAGTGCGAAACTTAAGGAGTTTAGGCTTTAGAGTGCAGTTAGCGATCGTCAATAAAGCCCATCAGGCGAACCAACACTACCCGTTCGCCGTCTCCCTCATCGAAACAGTGAAGTCCTATGAGAGGGCGTGTGAGAAAGTGGAACAGAGACCCACTGTCGCCCTTCTCGTGGCCGGCCTTAAGAGAGACGTTCAGGACTTGATTGCTGAAGGCGTTGGACTCGTTTGGGAATCATATAAAAGAGACTCTTATGTCCAAAGACTGGCGGAAAGTGTATTCAATTTCCAGGAGAAAGTGGACGAACTATTAGACGTCGCCGAACAGATTGAAGTGGAAGTCCGAAGTATTGAGGGCTGCAGTTATAGTACAACTGTTTTGTCTGAAATTCTCAATAAGATTCAGAAAGCCGTCGACGACTTGAGTTTACAGAGATATTCCAATTTAAGCGAATGGGTCACCCGTTTGGACGAAGACATTGAGACTAAACTTGCGGTTCGTCTCGAGGCTGGAATTAAGGCGTGGACTCAAGCGCTGTTTAGCAACCAAGAAGACGATATGGATGTTCTGACGGACACTGACTCGCCGACCACTACTGTCGTGAAACCCGGCGGAGATCCGAAGATTCAGAAAATGATTCATGAGATCCGTATCACGAATCAAGTGATGTATGTGAGTCCCAGTGTAGAGGAGGCCCGCTTTGATTTGATGCAACAGCTGTTCGCGTGGGAGAACGTTGTGCTCACTCTCAACCGAATCGAAAGCACTCGATATCAGGTCGGGTTAGACAGACCGGTGGCCCCGCAATACAGAGACCTATTGAATCGGATGCCTGAAGGGGTGAATGTTCTCGAAGCCGCCTATGAAGCCATCGAAAATAAAATCAAACAAATGCAGGAATATATCACTCAATGGTTGACATATCAGTCCCTTTGGGACCTTCAGCCCGATATGCTGTACACTAAACTCGGAGAGAATATCTCTCTTTGGATGAATACTTTGGTTGAGATAAAGAAGTCGAGAACTACTTTCGATACGACGGAAACCCGTAAAGAGATCGGACCCATAGTCGTGGACTACGCCAAAGTGCAGTCCAAAGTGACGCTCAAATACGACTCGTGGCATAAAGAGGTTCTGAGCAAATTTGGCGGACTATTAGGCACTGAGATGTCAGGTCTGCACCAAATTATCTCTAAGTCGAGGAGCGAATTAGAACAGCACTCCATCGACACGGCCAACACCAAAGATGCCGTCACTTTCATTACTTACGTCCAGTCGCTTAAGAATAAGACGCGGCAGTGGGAGAAACAGGTCGACACATACAAAGAGGGACAAAGGATTCTGGAGAGACAGCGCTTCCAATTCCCCAATAATTGGCTTCACGTCGACAACATTGAGGGCGAGTGGAGTGCTTTCAATGAGATTATGAAACGCAAAGACGCGTCGATTCAACAACAGGTGTCGAGCCTTCAAGTGAAGATTGTGGCCGAAGACAAGTCAGTTGAGTCGCGAACTCTAGACTTCCTTCACGAGTGGGAGAGAGGAAAGCCAGTCGAGGGGTCGGCGTCTCCTAAAGAAGCGTTGAATCGGTTGACTATTTTCGAGACAAAATTCAATCATCTGAGAGAAGATCGCGATAATGTCTTGAGAGCCAAAGAGGCCCTCGAATTACTAGAACCCGGTTTGGCTCCCGTCAGCGCCAGTGATGAGAAACTTCAGGTCGCGCTCGAAGAACTTCAGGACTTGAAGGAAGTTTGGACTGAATTGTCTAAAGTTTGGGAACAAATTGATTTACTAAAAGAGTTGCCGTGGCTTTCAGTACAGCCTCGAAAACTGCGGCAACAATTGGATGGACTTATGGCTCAATTGAAGGACATGCCGGCCCGCCTCAGACAATACGCGTCGTATGATTTCGTGAAACGAGTGCTTCAGGCGTACACGAAGTCAAATATGTTGATCATTGAACTCAAATCAGATGCTCTCAAAGAGCGCCATTGGAAGCAATTGACGCGTCAACTGAATGTTCGTTGGGTTCTGTCTGAACTGACTTTAGGACAGGTCTGGGACGTGGACCTCCAGCGAAATGAGCCCATTGTTAAGGACATTATACTTGTGGCTCAGGGAGAGATGGCTCTCGAGGAGTTCCTGAAGCAGGTTCGGGAGGCCTGGCAGACATATGAACTCGATTTAGTTAACTATCAAAACAAGTGCCGAATTATTCGCGGATGGGATGACCTCTTCAACAAAGTGAAGGAACACATCAACTCAATCACAGCAATGAAACTCTCGCCCTATTATAAGGAGTTCGAAGAGGACGCCCTGTCGTGGGAGGAGAAGCTCAACAGAATTAACGCTCTCTTCGATGTCTGGATTGACGTCCAGAGACGTTGGGTTTATTTGGAGGGCATATTCAGCGGTAGTTCAGATATCCAGGCCTTACTGCCCGTCGAGACCTCACGTTTTCAGTCAATTAGTTCAGAATTTTTGACTTTAATGAAGAAAGTGTCCAAAAGTCCAATGGTTATGGATGTCCTCAATATTCCTGGCGTTCAGCGCTCTCTGGAGAGATTGGCCGACCTTTTGGGCAAAATTCAAAAAGCTTTGGGAGAATATCTGGAAAGAGAGAGGTCTTCGTTCCCGCGATTCTACTTCGTTGGCGACGAAGATTTGCTTGAAATTATCGGAAACAGTAAAAACATTCCTCGACTTCAGAAACACTTTAAGAAGATGTTTGCCGGCGTCTCGTCTATTATTCTCAATGAAGACTTCACTTCAGTGTTGGGCTTATGCTCTAAAGAGGGCGAAGAAGTTCGCTTTTTTACGCCCATCTCTATCGTCGAACACCCGAAGATTAATGAGTGGTTAAGTCTTCTGGAGAGGGAAATGCGTATAACATTAGGCAAACTGTTGGCGTCGGCGGTCGCAGAAAGCGCTCCATTCAAGAGCGGAAATATAGAAATCGATAAATTCGTCAAATGGTTGGACTCTTTCCAGGCGCAGGTCATTGTTCTGGCGGCACAGATATCGTGGTCTGAATACGTGGAGAACACTCTCTTACAGATCAGTAATCAAAATCTGAAAACTTGTGAATTACTGGAGAATGTGTTGCAATCTGTGGAACTGACTCTTAAAGTGTTGGCCGACTCTGTTCTTCAGGAACAGCCGCCTCTTCGGCGCAAAAAGTTAGAGCATCTCATCACTGAATTCGTCCACAAGAGAGACGTGACGCGAACTCTCATCAAAAACAATGTCTGCTCTCCGAAGTCCTTCGACTGGTTGTCTCAAATGAGGTTCTACTTTGACCCCCGACAGCACGATGTGCTCCAACAGCTGTCCGTCCATATGGCGAACGCAAAGTTCAACTATGGCTTCGAATACCTCGGAGTTCAGGACAAACTCGTTCAGACGCCGCTCACTGATCGCTGTTATCTAACTATGACTCAAGCATTGGAGTCAAGACTCGGCGGCTCTCCCTTCGGACCGGCCGGCACTGGAAAGACTGAATCCGTCAAAGCATTAGGCAATCAATTGGGAAGATTTGTTCTCGTCTTCAACTGCGACGAGACATTCGACGTGCAGGCCATGAGCCGTATATTTGTAGGTCTGTGTCAAGTGGGGGCCTGGGGTTGCTTTGATGAGTTCAATCGACTGGAGGAGCGAATGTTGAGCGCTGTCTCTCAACAGATTCAGATGATTCAGGAGACGCTTAAGAATCTGCAAAACAAAACCGAATTAACTGTAGAACTGATCGGAAAACAGGTCCGAATCAACGCCGATATGGCCATCTTCATAACTATGAATCCCGGATACGCCGGACGGTCTAACTTACCCGACAATCTCAAGAAACTGTTCCGTTCGCTGGCTATGAATAAACCCGACCGACAACTCATCGCTGAAGTCATGCTATTCTCCCAGGGCTTCAGAACAGCCGAGAAGTTGGCCACAAAAATTGTCCCGTTTTTCAAACTCTGTGACGAACAGCTCTCCAACCAATCCCACTATGACTTCGGCTTAAGAGCCCTTAAGAGTGTTCTCGTCAGCGCCGGTAATATTAAAAGAGATAGGATTCAGAAAATCAAAGAAGATATGAGAGAGAGGGGTGAAGGCGACAAAATAAATGAGGGTTTGATTGCTGAACACCTGCCCGAACAAGAAATCCTTATTCAAAGTGTTTGTGAGACAATGGTTCCCAAATTAGTCGCTGAAGACATTCCGTTGCTTTTCTCACTTCTGTCGGACGTCTTCCCTGGAATTAAGTACACGAGGGCTGAGATGAAGGGACTTAAGGAGCAAATCATGAAAGTGTGTCAAGAAATGTATTTGGTTTGTGATTACGAGTCCGAGACTTCCAATGAAGACAATAACGCGAGCTCTTGGATGGCAAAAGTGCTGCAATTATACCAAATATCTCAACTAAATCACGGCCTAATGATGGTGGGCCCGAGTGGGAGCGGCAAATCGACGGCCTGGAGGGTTCTCCTCAGAGCACTCGAACGCTATGAAGGTGTCGAAGGCATCGCTCATGTGATCGATCCAAAAGCTATATCCAAAGAAGCACTTTATGGCACTCTTGACCCGAACACTCGCGAGTGGACAGACGGTCTGTTTACGCATATTCTGCGCAAAATCATTGATAACGTGAGGGGAGAGATCAACAAAAGGCAATGGATTATATTTGATGGAGACGTCGACCCCGAATGGGTTGAGAATCTCAACAGTGTTTTAGACGACAATAAACTACTGACTCTTCCAAACGGTGAGCGACTGAGTATTCCTCCAAATGTTCGCATTATGTTTGAAGTACAGGACCTTAAGTACGCCACTTTGGCCACTGTCTCGCGGTGTGGTATGATTTGGTTCAGTGAAGATGTTTTGTCGACTGAAATGATTTTTGAGAACTTCTTCTTGAGATTACGAAACATTGCTTTAGAAGACACTGAAGACGACTTCCCAACCTATGGCTCAAAGAAAATACGGTCCGATAGTGACGGCAATCAGTCTGAAGTACAACATCCAGGCCTTCAGACACAACATGATTTTGCAAATATATTACAGCCGTTCTTCACATCCGATGGTCTCGTTGTGAGAGCTCTAGAGTTTGCCTCAAAACAGGAACATATCATGGATTTCACGCGATTACGAGCGCTGAGCAGTTTGTTCTCAATGTTGAACCAGTCGTGTAGAAACATATTGAACTACAACCACAATCACCCGGACTTCCCGATGCAACACGACATACTCGAGCGCTATATCCCCCGATCCCTAGTCTACGGCCTCTTGTGGTCGTTCGCCGGCGACGCGAAGCTTAAAGTGAGGAGCGATTTGGGAGACTTCATCCGAAGCATTACTACCATTCCCTTACCACCCGCCACCTCAGCCCTGCCTCTCATTGACTATGAGGTGACTTTCAACGGCGAGTGGTCTCTCTGGCAGAACAAAGTTCCCCAAATTGAAGTGGAAACCCATAAAGTGGCCGCACCTGATGTTGTGGTCCCTACTGTCGACACAGTACGACACGAATCACTATTGAATACATGGCTCGCAGAACACAAACCACTAGTCCTGTGCGGACCTCCCGGTTCTGGAAAGACTATGACATTATTTAGTTCATTGCGTTCACTGCCAGACATGGAAGTGGTTGGCCTTAACTTTTCGAGCGCTACTACTCCTGAGCTATTATTGAAGACTTTTGATCACTACTGCGAATACCGAAAGACACCGAACGGAGTGGTATTGTCTCCGATACAGATCGGAAAGTGGCTCATATTGTTCTGCGATGAAATCAATTTACCCCAAATCGACAAATATGGAACCATTCGAGTGATATCCTTCTTAAGACAACTGGTCGAATGCGGCGGCTTTTATAGGACTACTGATCAGACTTGGGTTAAGTTGGAAAGAATTCAATTCGTCGGCGCCTGTAATCCGCCCACAGATCCCGGCAGAAAGCCGTTGTCCCACAGATTCTTGCGTCACGTGCCCGTCATTTATGTCGACTATCCGGGAGAGACATCTCTTAAACAAATTTACGGCACATTCAATAGAGCTCTCTTAAGGATAGTGCCGGCGCTCAGGGCTTATGCCGAACCGCTGACCGCAGCTATGGTTGAGTTTTATTTGATATCACAAGAGAGGTTCACTCAAGACATGCAACCGCATTATGTGTACTCTCCGCGAGAACTGACGCGTTGGGTCCGCGGTATCGTTGAGGCCATCAGACCCCTCGAGACCCTTACAGTCGAAGGTCTGGTGCGTTTGTGGGCTCACGAAGCACTCCGTCTATTTCAGGACCGTTTGGTCGAAGACTCCGAACGCATTTGGACGGACGAGAACGTGAATATCGTGGCACTCAAACACTTCCCTAATATTGACAAACAGGCGGCTCTACAGCGACCCATACTTTACAGCAATTGGTTGTCCAAAGATTACATTCCCGTCGACCGCGAAGTGTTGCGTGAGTTTACCAAAGCGCGGCTCAAAGTGTTTTATGAAGAAGAGCTCGACGTCTCTCTCGTGCTGTTCAATGAAGTGTTGGATCACGTGTTGAGAATCGACCGAATCTTCCGTCAACCTCAGGGTCACGTCCTCCTGATTGGTGTGAGCGGTGCCGGAAAGACAACACTCTCTCGATTCGTCGCGTGGATGAATGGGTTGAGTGTCTTTCAGATCAAAGTTCACAACAAGTATTCGGCCGCAGATTTCGACGAAGATTTGCGTCAAGTTCTGAGACGTTCCGGTTGTAAAGACGAGAAGATTTGTTTCATTTTAGACGAGTCTAATGTTATGGACTCTGGATTTCTCGAAAGAATGAACACATTGTTAGCCAATGGAGAAGTGCCCGGACTTTTCGAGGGCGACGAATACACTACTCTTATGACTCAAATCAAAGACTCCTCACAAAGGGAAGGCCTTATGCTTGACTCCAATGAAGAACTCTATAAATGGTTTACACATCAAGTGATAAAAAATCTTCACGTCGTCTTCACAATGAATCCCTCGTCTGAAGGCCTCAAAGACCGGGCGGCAACCTCTCCGGCGCTCTTCAATCGATGTGTTCTCAATTGGTTCGGCGACTGGACTAATGAGGCCCTCTTCCAAGTGGGCCGAGAGTTCACATCTAAGCTCGACATCGATAATACCAAATACGTTGCGCCGCAATATTTCCCGTCAGCCTTCCTTGGGTTTACTGCCACTCCTAACCATAGGGACGCCGTTATCAATGCATTCGTGTATATCCACCAAACCCTACACCACGCAAACGAACGACTACTCAAAAGAGGTGGAAGAGTGACGACTATAACTCCTCGACATTATCTCGATTTCATTAACCATTACGTGAAACTCTATTACGAGAAGTGTTCAGAACTGGAAGACGAACAGTTGCACCTCAACGTCGGTCTCTCGAAGATCAGAGAGACTGTCGAACAGGTGGAGGAACTGCAGAAGTCGTTGGCCTCGAAAAGTAATGAATTGGAGGCTAAAAATCAAGCGGCGAATGCGAAGCTCAGAGAAATGCTTAAAGACCAACAGGAGGCCGAACGCCGTAAAGTCAAGTCACAGGAGCTGCAGATTATGCTTAAGGTATTGATTGTCTTTCATGACTAATATAGTCCCGAAACACTATTAATGTAAATGACTGCCAATTGATTAGAAACAAGAGGCGTCTATCGCTGAGAAGACCAATGATGTGATGGCAGACTTGGCTAAAGTGAAACCAGCAGTAGAAGAGGCACAACAAGGTTTGATACCATTCGAGACTATCCTCACATTAACTGCTAATCAAACTTACATTTCACGCATTACTCGACTCGTAGACCGCACTATAAATCACTATCAAATGAATTACTTATTTTGCTTTTAAACCCTCTGCTGTTGCTATGATTTGTTATATGATTTTGTTTTAATTTGGATTATGTTTTGGTGTTTATCCCATTATAGCGGTGCAATCAATTAAAAAGCAGAATTTAGTAGAGGTTAGGTCTATGACTAATCCTCCGCCAGCCGTTAAGTTAGCCCTCGAATCCATTTGTCTTTTGTTGGGAGAGTCGACCACCGAATGGAAAGTTATTCGTTCGGTTCTGATGAAAGATAATTTCATCTCAACGATAGTTAATTTCCAAACCGATGACGTGACGTAAGAATTGATTATTTTAATTATTTATTACACATATAGCGGTGAAAGCCATAAAACGGCAACATTTAGTCGAAGTACGATCAATGAGTAACCCTCCACTTCCGGTCAAGATATGTCTGGAATCGATCTGTTTGTTACTCGGAGAGCCCTCTCAAGAGTGGAGACTCATCAGAAGTGTCATCATTCGCGAGAACTTTATCTCAAATATAATATGTTTTTCCGCTGATTACATATCGTAAGACTTGTGCCTAAAATTGGTTTTCATTTCGTGGATGTCTTTGATTTTGTTTTCACTGAGATTTTATTGGATTTATATTTTATTGTCAATTAATTTCTTAATCCATTCTTATATCCGATTATTAAACAATTTCATTGCTTATCTCTTTCATAGCGATGACATCCGACAGAAAATGATTAACAAATACCTCAATAATCCGGATTACAATTTCGAGAAAGTGAACCGGGCCAGTCTAGCGTGTGGACCACTGGTGAAATGGGCAATAGCCCAGGTGAATTACGCCGATATGCTCAACAAAATCGAACCGCTGAGGAATGAATTGAACAGTTTGGAGGCCGAGGCGCAGATCAATAAGAATCAGGCCATAGAGACCGACAGAATTGTGGCCCAATTGGAGAAGAGTATCGCCGCCTATAAGGAGGAGTACGCAAACCTTGTCAGTCAGGCCCAGGCTATCAAAGCCGACTTGGCTTCAGTCCAGTCCAAAGTGGACCGAAGTATTGCACTCCTCAAGAGTCTGAGTAATGAGAGGGAGAGATGGGAGCAGTCGAGCGAAACATTCAAAAGCCAAATGCAGACCATTGCCGGCGATGTATTGCTTTCATCGGCTTTCCTCGCATACGCCGGTTATTTCGATCAACAATATCGACAAAATCTGTTCAACAGCTGGTGCTCTCATTTACAACAAGTGAATATTCTGTTCCGATCGGATTTGGCGCGAACTGAGTACCTGTCCAGTGCTGATGAGCGGCTCAGATGGCAAGCAAACAATTTGCCGACCGATGACTTGTGCACTGAGAACGCTATTATGTTAAAGAGATTCAACAGATATCCACTTATTATCGACCCGTCCGGACAGGCGACTAAATTCTTGTTAAGTGAATACGAGAGTAAACGCATCACAAAAACCAGTTTCCTGGACGACTCGTTCCGCAAAAATCTCGAGAGTGCTCTCCGTTTTGGTAATCCATTGCTGGTTCAGGACGTCGAGAGTTATGACCCGATATTGAATCCAGTCTTGAATAGAGAGGTTCGAAAGACTGGCGGAAGAGTTCTCATTACTTTAGGCGATCAGGACATCGATCTCTCGCCCTCTTTCTGCATATTCCTATCGACCAGAGATCCAACGGTTGAGTTCCCGCCAGACATCTGTTCGCGCGTCACTTTTGTCAACTTCACGGTCACCCGAAGTAGTCTTCAGTCTCAATGTCTGAATCAAGTATTGAAAGTCGAGAGACCGGACATCGATGAGAAGCGCTCAGATTTGCTTAAACTTCAGGGAGAGTTTCACGTTAAGCTCCGACAGCTTGAGAAGTCATTACTACAGGCGTTGAATGACGTAAAGGGACGCATATTGGATGACGACTCCATTATCAGTACTCTCGAGAAACTGAAGAACGATGCGGCGGACATCTCGAAGAAAGTGGAAGAGACGGATAAAGTGATGGCAGAAGTGGACACTGTTTCGCAGCAGTATATGCCGTTATCGCAGGCCTGCAGCTCCATTTACTTCACTCTGGAGGGCCTAAATCAGGTGCATTTCCTCTATCAATATTCTCTGCACTTCTTTTTGGACATATATCACGACGTTTTGACGAACAACCCGTTACTCAATAACATGACTGAACCCAACGCTCGACTATCAGCTATAACTCATACGCTCTTTGAGGTGAGTTTTCACATCAATTGAGTTGATTTGTATTTAAATTAAACGTTTCATTCAATGGATCATTAGGTGGTCTACCAAAGAGTGACGCGAGGAATGCTTCACGAGGACTGGTTGGTGTTCGCACTTCTGTTGTGCAAAATATATCTGCGAGTCTTCTCAAAGTACTTAAACATTATTGCATTACTGGCAACTTCACTAAACCTTTAATCTCCATTTCCAGTGAACTTAACTTTGAGGTCGAATTCAATCATCTGATGCGAGGTCGCGAAGGCATTCTTCCGGGACAGCCAACCATTCATGTCGAAGGACTCAAATCAGATCAATTGGAAGGCGCAACCGCTCTCTCAAAGTTGGTCTCATTTAAGTCACTCCAAGAAAACATCAATTCATTGAAAGACTTTGAAGATTGGGTTCAAAACAGTTCTCCGGAAACATGTGTTCCACAGCTATGGGAAGAGTCCAAACCACTCACACCTATCGGCACAGCAATGCATCAGCTATTAGTGATCCAAGCGTTTAGACCGGACAGAGTCATAGCAATGGCCAATCGAGTCATTCACGCCATACTTGGCTCTGATTTCTTACACGCGGCCGAAGCTGAGCTCAATTTGGGGGCAATTATTGAGAAAGAGGTTAAGGCGTCGACTCCTATACTCATGTGTTCGGCCCCAGGATATGATGCCAGCGGTCGTGTGGATGATCTCGCGGCTGAACTCAACAAAACTATTACATCCATAGCTATCGGATCGGCTGAAGGGTTCAGTCAGGCGGAGAAGGCCATCAACTCTGCCTCCAAGAGTGGCAAATGGGTTCTCCTTAAGAACGTTCATTTGGCGCCTCAATGGCTGATCCAACTCGAGAAGAAACTCCACACTTTGCAAACCCACCCGACGTTTAGACTTTTCCTGACTCTGGAAATCCATCCCAAAGTACCGGTAAATCTGTTACGCGCCGGAAGAATATTCGTTTTCGAGCCGCCGCCAGGAATCAGAGCTAATCTGTTGCGAACATTCAATACAATCCCGGCCTCAAGAATGATGAGACCACCCAATGAAAGATCGCGACTCTATTTCCTGTTGTCGTGGTTTCACGCCATCGTTCAGGAAAGGCTCAGATATTGTCCGCTCGGATGGTCTAAAAGCTATGAGTTTAACGATTCGGATCTACGCGTGGCCTGCGATACACTCGACACTTGGATCGATACGGTGGCGATGGGAAGGACTAATTTACCGCCAGAGAAGGTCCCCTGGGATGCAATCGGCATACTATTCGGTCAATGCATATATGGCGGCAAAATTGATAACGATTTCGATCAGAGATTATTGACTTCTTTCATCAATAAGTTGTTCACTGCGAAGAGTTTTGATCCAGAGTTCGCTTTAGTGTCTGGAGTGGAGGCACCCGAAGGCGGAAAGACTTGTATTTCAATACCTGAAGGAATTCTACGCAGAGATCAGTTCTTGAATTGGGTGGAAACGCTTCCGGACCGTCAGATGCCGTCGTGGTTAGGACTGCCCAACAACGCCGAGAAAGTGCTTTTGACTAATTCTGGAACAGATCTGATCGCAAAACTTCTTAAACTACAACTACTCGAAGACGACGACGACTTAGTCATGCAATCGCAAGAAGGAGTCAAAGCCAAACGCCATTCCTCTGACGGCAGACCCGCGTGGATGAGAACTCTGTTGAATAGCGCCTCCACTTGGCTTCGAGTCGTTCCCAATAGTTTGCAAACAATGAAGAGAACCTCCGATAACATCAAAGAACCTCTTTATCGATACTTTGAGCGCGAAGTGAATATTGCGTCGAAATTGCTTCAAGTGGTGAGACATGACTTGGAAGACGTGCAGCACATCTGTCGCGGAGAGAAGAAGCAGACCAATCATCACAGAGAGATCATCGCCTGTCTCGCTAAGGGAATGATTCCCAACCATTGGCGCAAATATACAGTTCCGCAAACCTGTACTGTCATCCAATGGATCACTGACTTCACCGATAGAGTAAAACAACTGCAGAAAGTGTCGTCCACTGCGAGTCCCAATCTGAAGGTCTGTTTACTGTTGTGTACATTTGAATAGATTTCTAAACATGTGTTGCAAACAGAATCTGAACATATGGTTGGGCGGACTCTTCAACCCCGAGGCTTACATAACAGCGACGCGTCAGTTCGTGGCGCAGGCCAACGGCTGGTCTTTAGAAGAGCTATTCCTCGAAGTCTTAATTTCTGATTCCGATAAGAAGAATGTCTCGGAGGACGGAACCTTTGGAGTGACAGGTATTGAAACATAAATTGTAAACATGGACACACATTGAACTAAACACTAATTGTGCGACAAATAGGTCTCAAACTACAGGGCGCGCAGACCAAACACAACAAACTCTACCTGTCGTCCACTATATTCACTGATTTGGCGCTCACTTCCCTTCGTTGGATTCGGTATTTTTATGATTACTCATTTCACTGAGAGTTGTACTCAAATGACAATCCATTTCAGAGCTAATGCCGATGCGAAGCAATCCAACAAAAAGGTGACACTACCGGTGTATCTCAACTCAACTCGAGCCGAACTCTTGTTTTCCGTGGACCTGGAGTTGGGGGACAATCAAAACGCTTACAGTTTCTACGAAAGAGGCGTCGCATTCATGTGTTTGAGTGCAATCGGATAACCAATCCGTTTATTACTATCAATACTTCCTTTAGTTACACAAAAACTATTTCAAATTTGTTTTATTAATCATTTTATAAATGTTTTCAATCAAACAAAATCTGATTGAAAGGCTTTAAAAGGCTATTATTTGGTACGAAATCAAAATAATTATTTATCAATAAATTGCTTTTATCTATATTTCTTTGAATCCTGTGTTTGAGTTCTTTCAATGCGTTTCTCTCTTGAATTCTATGCGATATCTTCCCGAAAGTCCATTGACTTAACACAGCGTTCACTGCAATCAACTGAATCTCTTGAGAGCTCAGACTAAACACAATTATATTCATTTCACTCCACTTTTTACTCAAACTCCAGATTCGTTTCGATATATTTTGAGTGAATTTTATAACAAGTTTTATGCTTTGCTTTGATCTCCATTTGGGAGATATTCTTAAGAAAGCAGACAATCGTATGGATTGCAAGAGAACTCTTTCGAAGATATTTTTGACAACAATTTTCATGTCATTTACTCTATTATCCAAAACAATACATGAGATGTGAAGGGGTATCTGTCCTGCAATACAATTACAATCAATGAGTTGCGGAACAATAGTGTGTTTAAGAAAAAAAACTTACTTAAAATGGTTGCCATAATCAATTTGAGCGATGCGTTTGGATTGCAATTAAATGAATTCAAAATGTTTTGCTCTTTATATATGGAGTAATCGGCGGAAACACTGAGAGCTTTGATATCAATTTGATGGCCACAGAACTGCAACTCATTACTGATCGCAACATGAGATCCATTGATAGGAAAGTTAGTCTTAAGTTTGTGCCAATTTATTCTTAGGTTGTATTCATTGAATCCGTTTAACATGAGGTTAACGATAGCCTGTGCCCTCGCGAGTGAAGGCGTGATGAACAAGAAGTCGTCCGCTTGGATGAGACGTACTTCTGAGGACTGAAGTCCAAAATCATTGAAGTAATGCTTAGCCAACGACTCGATATATATTGAGCACAATTCACTTGATATCATTCCTCCCTGTCTTATACCGGACTTCATGTGATAATATGAATGTTTCCCGGTTTTGATGATTGCTTTGAAAATATAAGTTTTTATATAATTCTTCATTTGTTGGCATTTATAGGACTTTTCATATACTTTGGGAACAATAATACAATTCCGAAGTTTTATATTGTTTTTGAATGCAATTTCTTGTAATGATTTCGTGTCACTTGTGTCCACATAATGAATGTGTTTAACAAGGAGTCTATTATGAGCTTTAATTATGTGATCAAACTCTTTGATTGTGATCTCATTATTCAATGAAATCGATTCAAACGAGTTGTCAATTATTTGAAACATTTTGTTTTGATTAATAGATGGGTAACAGTCGGCAATATCGGCGCGAATGAAGTATAGCTTATCATTAGGTTGCGAATGATTTAGTGATTTTAATGCAATCATATTTTCATGCAATGATTGTTTACCATTCAGTGAATTGTTAGAGATATTGAATCGGATTCGCTTAAGAATAATGAGAATCATGTGAAGCAAACTTTTCAATTGCTTTTCATCCGTCTGTACACTAGCCTTAAGTCTATTGATTTGTCTAAAATCTCTCGTTTTTGGCACAAAACGATGTGAAGACAGACTTAACAACTTTGAAGAGTCTTCGGGAATAACGTCTGAAATATGGTTATAATTAATTGAAACGAAATGCTTTTCACCGATTAATTTGTTTAAGGCTTTGGTTTGCATTTGACTCCATACGTCAAACCGGTAGAAAAATAGCTGCGATTTATTGGTCGCAGTTTCGGTGATATAAAACTTGGACTTCAGAATTGTCATCAAATACTGAACTAACCATTGGATCATAGCATCCATTATCACCCAAACTACGGGAGTATCGATAAACTCGCGCAACCATTCAATTTCATTCAATTGGATGTCTTTCCTAATATCAGAGACATATAAAACAGTATTCAAACCGCAAGTGATTAAAAGTTTGCAATTCTTATAAAATGTATTAAAATTGGATTTAGTGCCAAACAATTGAACGGGAATTACATAATAGAGAATTGAATACATAAATTGAATCATCTGTTTGTGAGTGGTGTATAAGTTGAGAGCTGAACACAAATCATAAGCATATTTATCAAAATATCCCGAATCTATTGGACATAATTTGTCCAAAAGTTTATCAAAACGACAACTTTTATGCCTAACAATAATGTGGTTAAGCAATGGGAACAACTGCTTCTTGGACTCAACCGTTAATACGCTGGTAATCAACGGATTAGTGAATATATGTGTAAATAATTGATGCGATTGTAAGCAATGTTTGCTTAAAATAAAGCTTTCATTGAAACGACCGCTCGATTGACGCGAATATAGCATTGATTTGCGGCTTAACTGACACTTGACTGCCGGCGAGACATGACTTCCTCCCAAACGCTTCCCAACACGTCTTCGCTCTTCATTTGATGTCTCATTTGAGTTGGTCTCACAGTTAACACCACTTCTCACCTCATTATTAGCGATCAGTCTCTCAATAGACTTCAATGTCTTGTGATTCTCGATGTTTACGAGTCTTTCGTTTTGACCACAATTTGAGATCAGTTTAAAATCTTTGGAATAATTCCAGACTATATTACAAATACTTGATCCGAGGGTTTGCTGAAGAGTGTTGACACAAATCTCTTGAAAAAACATGCATTTGTTTAATAGATATTCAAATAGCGATTCATTGAGTATTGAATACAATTCACACAAATGTTTGTAGTTTTGGTTCAAGTATTCAATTGAATGCACTCTTGGGATCAGTTGATTGGATCTGTTAATGTGGTCGAAATCACTTAAATAATTATTGGCAATACTGTCAAACGACTTGTCAGTCTTCGAGTCAAATATATTGCGATAATTAGGTCTTTCGTTGCTTACGATGAATATCTTATGGCAGAAGTCTCTCAACTCTTCACTCAAATGGCAATCACTTTGAATGCAATCAAATACTATGGTATCGAGTCGTTCAACACTTCTGTACATACTCTTCAGTATGTCATCCATTGAGGCCATCGTTGAGATAATCAGGTGGACACTAACTCAACAATAACTGCTAAACACTTAGAGTTAACACATGTTTCAAACGAAACTCTTTCAAAGTTATCACTCAAACAGAAAACATGTGATAATACTCTGTATTATAGTAAGTGTTATCATAGCATAGCATCCAATCCAAGCACTTCTCAACACTTTTATTCTTGTTTTCAAACTTTTCTATTTTATTTGTATTTATGGCATAATTATTAGATCAACTTATATGAAACTATAATTCAGATCTCATTAGAATTTATTATGTTTATTATAATCTATAATTATAATATAATAATCTACTTTCATTGAAATATTGATCACATAAACAAAAATATTATTTCTAAATACTCGCAAACAAATCACTATTTATTTAACTTTCGTTAAGATTTCAAATTATTGGTGAACTACTAAAACATGTAAATACTTAAAAGTTTGTGATTATTAGCAATAAGTATTTTATACATAAATGAAATAAGAAAACAAATAATTACTTTAAAAAGTTTATTGAATTTAGATTTGAAGCGAAAAGTAAAGAATTTTGAGTGAAATATGAATTGAAACCAAATTCTGTGCCAAATTTGTGTCACGTATTCGTCAGTCAATGACAGAGAAGTGGTCTTCAGAGTGAATGTCTGAATAGTGTAGACATCGAGCGCTGGCATTGACTGCAAACACGAGCCAACCCTCGGATCCGTCGATGTGTCCGAAGTGTTGAGGACTCCATTTCCCCTCATATTAGCTGATTATGTGTGCACTCAGTCTTCGTCGCCGTGGCCTACGGTACGATATATCTTCATATCTGCAAGACTTTGGCTAAACTCGCTTTGAATTGTCTGAAGTTTTGATGCACTCATCGGACCACACGTTACCTCGTCTTCAGTCTCGTCTTCAGGGTGTGGTCTGAAGATAATGAGGCAATCGTTGTCTTCCGCTGCGTCCGTCTTCGCCCAGACATACATCTCGACTCGTCGGTTGTCTATCGCTATGAGTCGATCCATTCGTACGACTCTTTTGGAGAATACTCGGAGACGGGATCTCATTATGAGTTCCCAGAAGTCCACGAAATTTTGTTTAGTTGTTTCCCCCAACTCTGCAATGAGTCGATCAATGGATTCGCTAAACGATTCCCATTTGGATTCGGGAGGCATTTGTCGATCAATGGGTTTATGTGTTGTTGTGAACCACTGGTCAGTGATTAGAGACGACAGCGAACACCGATCTGAAGGGTTGGCCGCTAAGAGACGTCTCAGCAGTTGATTGACGACTGTTTGGTCGACAGACCGACGGAAGCGCTCGGGAAATGGCTTTTCGTAGATATCCTCCNTATTTGATCGCAGATTTAAAGGTCAGTCTTATGTGTAAAGCAATTATGAATGAGTTTGAGATTTGTGTGAATAGTGTATAATAATACTTTGTAATGATAACTTGTAATCATTTCACACAAATGTTACGTTACATATGATTCAAAACCAGATCCCTGTCCACTACACCGATGGGCGAGAAGCCGGTCACGGATTTGGCAGGAATTGGAGAAGTGTTGGGCAAGAGGTTGGAGTCCAAGGGTTTCGACAAAGTATTGCCACTCATTGTCTTCGCACTCAACGCGTGGTACTAATTGTCTGTCTGTTTGTGTCCACTCATAGGCTTACGTGGTTTTGGGACAGTTTCTGGTGCTCAAGAAGAATCAGGAGCTCTTCGTCGAGTGGCTGAAGGACTTGAGCGGTGCGAACGCCAAGCAGGCGAAGGACTGCTGCCAGTGCTTAGGCGAGTGGTGCGACCAGTTCTTGTAGACACACACACCTGGCCCTCGACCACCGCACCCACGCTTCCCATCACGCACTACTCGTGATTCATCTGTTCATCTCTTTTATGGCAGTTATCTCTGAATTGCTTTTAATTTTTCACACTTTTTAATGAAATATTTTTCTCTCTTTTTTAATGCGATTACTAATTATTATATTCGTAGCGAATCTATGGCTTAACTATTAATAATTGTTTCATTATTATTGGAGTTTCGAGTGAAGAGGTGATGAAAGTTATCACTAATTTTTGAATTGTTTTTAATAAAGAATATATTTCGCGATAATTAGTAACACTTTTATTTACCGTATTATGAATAAATATTGGACACAAATCTCCTTTTGCTAATTATATTTGATTTCAATGTTTGGTAACATTTGAAGTGCTTTTCATTTGAATTACTTATTTGATCGCAGATTTAAAGGTCAGTCTTATGTGTAAAGCAATTATGAATGAGTTTGAGATTTGTGTGAATAGTGTATAATAATACTTTGTAATGATAACTTGTAATCATTTCACACAAATGTTACGTTACATATGATTCAAAACCAGATCCCTGTCCACTACACCGATGGGCGAGAAGCCGGTCACGGATTTGGCAGGAATTGGAGAAGTGTTGGGCAAGAGGTTGGAGTCCAAGGGTTTCGACAAAGTATTGCCACTCATTGTCTTCGCACTCAACGCGTGGTACTAATTGTCTGTCTGTTTGTGTCCACTCATAGGCTTACGTGGTTTTGGGACAGTTTCTGGTGCTCAAGAAGAATCAGGAGCTCTTCGTCGAGTGGCTGAAGGACTTGAGCGGTGCGAACGCCAAGCAGGCGAAGGACTGCTGCCAGTGCTTAGGCGAGTGGTGCGACCAGTTCTTGTAGACACACACACCTGGCCCTCGACCACCGCACCCACGCTTCCCATCACGCACTACTCGTGATTCATCTGTTCATCTCTTTTATGGCAGTTATCTCTGAATTGCTTTTAATTTTTCACACTTTTTAATGAAATATTTTTCTCTCTTTTTTAATGCGATTACTAATTATTATATTCGTAGCGAATCTATGGCTTAACTATTAATAATTGTTTCATTATTATTGGAGTTTCGAGTGAAGAGGTGATGAAAGTTATCACTAATTTTTGAATTGTTTTTAATAAAGAATATATTTCGCGATAATTAGTAACACTTTTATTTACCGTATTATGAATAAATATTGGACACAAATCTCCTTTTGCTAATTATATTTGATTTCAATGTTTGGTAACATTTGAAGTGCTTTTCATTTGAATTACTTATTTGATCGCAGATTTAAAGGTCAGTCTTATGTGTAAAGCAATTATGAATGAGTTTGAGATTTGTGTGAATAGTGTATAATAATACTTTGTAATGATAACTTGTAATCATTTCACACGAATGTTACGTTACATATGATTCAAAACCAGATCCCTGTCCACTACAGTTGAATAAATGCATTCAATATAGTATTCATTCATTCATTCAATAATACATTTGTGTTTCAAATGAATTCTAAAAGTTTTGAAAACTTTTTTTTTAACAATATTTGCGATATTTTCGCACATTTTCTTTGGGGCGCGAAATCAAACTCTTTTGACACGATTTCGAAATCTTCTTCCAGTTATCACTGAATATCACCACAAATGACATCAAAGACATCGTCGAAAGTCGACTCATGTGCTCGTATGGTGTGCGCCCCGCCTCCCGAGTCACATGAGTCGCCCCCGGAAGCCCCGCTTGACCAGGGGGTGGAAGGGGTAGGAGAGGTCACCACCAGACCATCGGTGGTGTTACCGATGACCCTAAACACCAGTCTAATCACTGGAACCACTGGTCAATCTGACTCCTCGTCAATAAAGGGGCGACCGTTAGGGTTGGCTAACCAGGACCTCAACGGATCCGTAACTACTGGCACTCATGGAGTGGTCATTCATTCGGAGACACCAGAAGTCGAAGTCGACACCAATTCAGAAGACGACGACCGCTGCTGTCGGAACGGGTGTTGGGTTTGGGTTAAGCCGGTCTTAACCAGAGTTTGGAAACCATTCAAACGGATCC